GAATTTGCAAAATTAAACTGTGTGCTATATTCTATAAGTATGTGTGTATTTATATACACACATATCTATTAGAATGAATTTTCGGAATAAAAAATAAAAGAGGAAAAAAAACGGGATAAAATGAAAGCTTTTAAAAGCTGTCTTTTTTTTCATTACTTTTTCTTGAAGTAATTTTTATGAACGATTAGACATTCCTTAGCAGTCCCTTTCCCATTTATAAGAATTGGTAAATTTTATCAATTAAAGGAATTATTTAAAAGTTGTCATGTTTGAAAACTTTTGCTCTTTCAGCAAAGTAAATTGAAGAAGAATTTGTGAATTCAGCGAAATGTAAAAAGTATAAATTGTAAATTTAACTGAAAAACGTTTAAATTTATAAAAAAAGGAAACCAATTGATTTGAGTTATTCGATTTCAAATTTTCGACCATTTACCATTTGTTACATTTCTTTCTCTTTCAGTTTTACTTATCTTCCATTTCAGCTCATATTTCTTTCATCAAATTATAATTTCAATCTGTTTGTCGGAGATGGCCTTGAAACAATTTTCCGGAACGGAAAATTTACAGACTCAATTTCTTTCACACATTCATTCCATTCCAGAAACAATAGTCAGAAAATTTGTTTGTAACATAGATAGTTTTCCATATTGAATGATTGAATGAATTTTTACTATCATAAGTAAATCAGTTAATGAATTATCACTTTAGCTATAATATCGTATTACGGTATAACTATGAAAAATGATCTGTATCTGTGAAAGTGCAATACACATTGCAATGATATTACTGATTAATTTTGAAATTACCACGTCATTTTGATCACTTATCACTTTACACTTTAATTATTGATTGAATATTTTAGGATAAATTTATTTAAAGTGTTTAAAGTGGATGAAAGTAGAAGGATTAGTTTGTTCTGTAGGAATGAAAAAAGAAAAGATTTTGTCAACAATGTCAATCACCTTCCATCTTTTTCCTCTTTCACTTTAATGTACTTTAAAGGTATTCCTATATAATATCGGATCAGTAATTAATGAAAGATGATTGGACGGTGGAAATAAATGTTTCACTTCGAAACAGATTATGGAACTAACCGGATTTATATTTTATGTGACGTGAAGATAAAACTAAAATGATGCCTTATGTGACG